AACCACCAACCTTTTGTTGCACACCTCCAGGCTTAAATCTTTAAATTTTCTTAGGAAAAGTTCTTCTGAAATTACACTTTCCGCTGAACCGCAATCCACTTCCATAGTAAGGGATCTGCGTTCAATTTGTGCGTCAACATAACAGGGTTCATTTATCTTATTGATTGAAGAAATCATCAAGCATGCAAAATCCTCTTCATCAGAATTGTCCTCTAAATCAGTCTTTAGTCGCTTGAAAAGCCCAGAAGAGTCTGAAGTACTAGGCTTGGGAGAGGCAACAAAATTTACATTTGGTTTACTTTCACGTGGGTTTTTGTCTTTAAGACGAAAACAATACTTTTTTGTGTGTCCTCTCTTCTTGCAATGAGAGCAAAAATATGCTATTTTCCCTGGACTGTTATTATCTCTGCTGTCATATCTGCGATCATATCTATTGTAACCTTCATTTCTAAACCGAACAAAACGATTCCTACTATCGCTTCTACTCCTTCCTCTGTAACCCGATCCTCGACTTGATCTAATAGGTGATCTACGACCAAGCCTTGCTATGACGCCTAGTCGTGGTTCATCGTCCCTTTTCAACGTATTGGTTCTGTTCGACGCTATTTCTTTGTTTACTATTATTCTCTCGGCCTTGCTAGCTGTGAGGTCTTCTTCGTCGAATAGGCGATTCTGCATTTGACGGTCATAAGTCCCTATAACAAGCACATCTCTAATTGCTCTGTCTTTAAATGTACCAAAGTCACATTGCTCAGCTAAAGTTTTCACATCAAGTACGAAATCTACTGCTTTTTCATGTTGGCCCTGCCTGCGCGTCCAAAACTTGTAGCTATGGATCACGTCTGAATCTACTTTGTCGAAATGTTTTTTTCAGGTTTTCCGTGATTTCTTTGTACGTAAGGTCTTTGAAATCGCGACCGGGGAATAACAGTTTTAATCGAGAAAAAACTTCAGTGCCACAAACAGCTAAGAAGGATGATTTATAATCATCCGGGGCAAATTTGTTATGATCAAACATCCATTCAAGTTGCTCCAAATATTGAGCAAAAGGAATGGTTCCCGGCAAAAAAGGCTCGGTACTGGTGGACAATGGCATCTTGAACAACAGGCGATGACAGCACCGAACTCACCAGTAGCAGCAACAACAACGTTTCCTCCGATGATTATTGATAGCAGCAGCAGCGATGTTCTCACCACCACAGCAGCTAACAGCAACAGCAGCAGTAGCAAATACGCCACCACTACAATAGCAATAACGTACTGTAAAGGTCAACGTACGATGTCGTAACTAAATCCAATTGAGGTTTTCACTGAACAATTTTCCTTCTAATGCTCTTTTTCTCTCTTCTCACTTAATGTACGTTTTCACAATGACTTCCACGGATGCCGCAAATATCACGCCTCACTATTCCTGATGGCACAAAACGAAGATAAACTAAATTAAAATGATATGAAAACCGGGTGAACAGAATAAAAGAATCAGCGTCACGAAACAGCCAACTGCGAATTTTTTTTTTCACAAAATGGCGTTGCTGATAAAAATACGCTGCATAAGGATTTTCTCTTTGTTGGCTAGATACAATTTGACTCGGTCCAAAATTTTAACAATCACTGAGTGAGGAAAATCACTGATTTTTATAGCAAAACTAGCAAAAATGTCTACAAAAAGGTATGAAAACCACGCCACTAGCAGAACAATAGAGCTCAACGTTATTCTTCTGATAACAAAAAAAAATTCTTACTCTTGCTCGAATAAAATGTCTACCACCCGATGATAAAAATGTGGGCTTTCACAAATTTCCCCGTTGATAATTCGTTTATCCGGGTAAATACTGCCACTACGATAATCTTCACTAAGTTTTCACTAAATTTCACTTTTTACACGCGTTGAAAGATTCCTATTCCATCCTCGTCTCCACTGTTTTAACTTGGCCTTCTTCGGGTAGAGATACTATCTATAAATCAAACAACTCGTTCGGTTGATAATCACAAACGATTTAACTCATATATATTTCTCCTGCCCATTATATACACATCTCAGACCTGACCAACTTGTCCTGATCATATGTTCGTCCCTCTCTCACTTTATCTCCTACTCTTTCGGGGATTATTCTGCATGGTCGAAATCACGACTTATCTACACCGTTACCACAGTGCATACCATTCAAATAACCTTTGGAGATCGAAAATTGAACGTAAAATGAGAGACCATTGAACACAACATATTTGCATGGTTTTTAGGTGTGTCCCTAGACTTATGATCGGTAGTGTTCCTAAATTCATAAAGAGTACCTTAAAACATGACATGCTAGGGCATTTGTATAATCTTCGCAACGGTAAAATGTGTCTATCCGACACAGAAAAAAATTCTAAATTTTACTAGTCATGCAAACATTCATACATGTAAACCTCCTATTCATGTAAACCACCAACTTGCAAGAAATCTGGCTTACAAATATGGACGGTTGCATATAATTTATGGAATATCTCCATGACATGTCTCATAAATTTATGCGATTTATTATGAAAACTTGTATGATATAAGACGCTGCATGTATGTGCCTAATAGTATAATAAAATTACACTACTGTTTTGAACTGTGTAGTGAATGTTACATAGTAAAACAAATACATTCTGGAAAACTACCTCGAAGTCATATAATAAATCCCAAACTTAAAGCTGCACTTGACTAGAAATCAAACCATTCCTTCCTGGCGTGATTTGATTCGCATGTTTTCAATAACGAAAAAAAGCAAAACAATCCAATTGAATCCAGAAGCATAACTGCCGGGTGGAGAAAGAATCTTGAAAAATCTGCTTCCGTTGTGAATTTCCCCGAGTATCATCGAAAACGTGTATGTAGTCAAAAGGGACAACTGCAGCAAAAGCACAGACGAAAGCATGAAATCACCGGTAACGAGCCAACAGGAAGCATGTGCAGCAACAGCAGTACACGAAACATGATCATCATCAAGCATTGGTCCAATCTTCAATTTCCATCTCTTGATTTTTTCACTCCGTTTCCATAGCCTCGCAGCCCGCTGCTAAAGTTAGACTTTGCGACAAGGATTGCAGAGGGTGGCTGTCACCCGGTGACAGGGAGAGCGATGATGACGATGATTGGGAAAAGCAATCAATCGACGCATACACAGCTTTGGAAGAAGATATGTACCAAGAACAACTACCGTGATGATACACTGCTGCAGTACAAACACTGACTTAGGCGTAGCGATATTTTGGGTAATAGGGCGTGTCAACTTAACAACCCCCTGCTGCTTTTTTGAACTGTGTTGAGATCCCCAACAACTGTGCCAAATTTGAACGAGTTTGGTTACGATCTGGATTTACGGGGGAATTTCAAAGTTTGGATGGGAAAATTTTATGGGATATGGAACAAACTATGCATTTGCTTGTCAAATATTCAAAAATTAATATATTTTTACCAAACCTGGGATTAAGATTTAAATAAAAAAAAAAACTATGCAGAGCAACTTTGTTGAAGACCACAAATCGGTTAGACTTCTGTGAAATAAGTTATATTTTTTTACTTGAGGCCAGTGCTGCCCAACGTATGGCCCGCGGACCAGACATGGTCTCTGAATCTTAGTAATAATAGCATTCTAATCTAATTTTATTAATCATTATGTGTTGAATGAGAAATAAACCAAATTCAGCTTGAAACATTTTCACCGAAGTAAATGAAAAGTAATTTAAAAAAATGCAAGTTTTGCTAGATAGGGCAGACCAGCTTTAGACAAAGTGCTCCACTCATACCTACAAGCGGAGATATAAGATTGTAGCTATGTGGGAGCCTAAAGTAAAATATTAATAACTTAATAAAAAAAATGTTCTTAATAGTTTTGCCAATCAAATTCACAGGTTTGTTAAAAATGTACCAATATTTGAATTTTTGGCACGTTTTTTTTATATAAACTTTAAAGTTCTCCCACAAATCTAGATCGTTACCAAATTTGGCACAGTTGTTGTGGACATCTATACTGATCGAAAGAGGTTGTGGTCCACTATACAAACTTGATCCACCCTAATGGGTATACGACACATTCTTTTTCGATCTGAGAAGTGGACGAAAAAATGTGCCATGCATCAGCTGGTGACTTTATGATGATGTCATGTGGTCCTTGGGGAAGCCTATGCTGTCATCGCTCTAGTCAGTGTTTGATTCGTTTCTTCTGCTTCGTTGGATGATACGCTACTCCATAGCGTAGCGTGTCATCCAACGAAGCAGAAGAAACGAATCAAACACTGATGGGTGATATGGTTATGGGCTCAGGAAAACATTGATTGTCTGATATTTTGGGTTGCAAGGCTATTGTGATCTCGCTGCGTTTTGTTATTTACTTATTGATTATATAAGCAGTTGGCATTTAGAACTGATACCCGGGATGAGTCCATCAAAATAAGAAACTTAACATAAATTTGTGAAAATGACTTACAGTAAGTGGCATGGTATTGGCCTCCGGAAGTTTTTGGGAAACATGCAATAAATTAATGAAGAGCCTTTCCCTATAGTGTAAGAACATAAGAAAACGATTGATACGTTCCTCCATTACAATTATGGACTCAAATTTACCATGACAGCTCTGTCAAAAAACCCTTCCTGATTATTTACTAAAGCATCGTTTCGGTGGGAGTACTTTTTATCATACTGAATCATGATCTGATTGAAAAATACTTATTTATTTTGTACATCTCAATCTCCACAAAAACCATCTTCGCCTTAAGCAATGCAAAGCAAGGAGCGAAAAATTCCATTCTACGGTTTAAAGTAGATAGCAGCACACTGGCATTTTTCCCATCGTACGTCGCGTATCGGGTTTTCCACTAGACATGACAAATGAGCTTTCACTGAATTACGCGGTGATTGCCGATAAAATCATAACCGAAAAATAAGACCATTTGAATTTGGGTGGAACATTTAAGTACGACGAGAAGGTGAAAGAAAAAAGCATGGTGCAGATAGTGAATTTTTTTTTACTCACGTTGCCTCACTGGGAACTCGCTGGGAAACGATTTTCTCCGCTTTCGGTAGCCGATCCTGCCGGAGTGGTTGAGCATAGTACGGCTGATCGTTGTACGTCATTAGCGTGGGGTCTCGTTCGGTGTGCGATAGTTTTTCCTTCAGAGACGAGACCATGTTGCCGCCAGCCACCGCTGAGGCCACAGCCGCGATGGGCGAGGGTGGTGAAATGATGGCGGTCAGAGCTGACGAAGCGGACGAATCACCGGTGCAGCCGATTCCGGTCGTGCACTGGTGACCGGATGGAGGTTTGTTTTTCAGGTCGCACTGGTTGCTGAAGTGGCCACTGGAGTCCATGCACTCCACGCTGCGGATTTGGATGCCACTGCCGCACGAAACGGAACACTGTGTGAAAGAAATAGAGCAGAGAGAGGGAAAAGCATACTTGGGTTAGTTTTGTAAGTGGTACTAGTTTCAGGTGTTCGTTCTGGCTTACGAGATGGGAATCGAAGCGAGACTTTTTCTTGAGATGATATACCTCATTAGAATTTTGTTTTCCGGTGGGAGTTATGAATAATACTATCAATGGCACTTAATTCAATGGGATTGGTACTTTCAGAAGACTTATTAAATGTATTTCGTGAATTTCGTTGTTTGCTTTGACAATAAAAATGATAATTCCTGTTTTTTTTTAATTGCTTTACTTGATCAGGCTCAACCACATGAGCTTTGCAGAGCCGAGTTTTCTTGTTAATTAAATATAGGATTACAATAAATGTTAAAACTATAGTCAAGAAGTTCAACGCGAAAATCCCGGGAAGTTTCTTCCATCAGAACGGGATTCACTTCCAGTGGTTTCACATACATGGTAATCTTAAAATCTGTTCCAGCTAGTAGTTGGCCGCTTCTTTTAATTACTGTAGCGCCTTTAGTTGTCGTAGCAAGAAACTATTGACAGTGTTTTGATTCGGAAGGATTGTTTATTTAGTAGTGAAAATTTTATCTGGATTCATATAGTTGTTCAAAAGCTATCGAAGATGGAACGTGACAGACGTGAAAAAATTCTGCACACTCACATTTTGATGGACGATGAAGCTTACGTTAAAATGCACCTTGGACAAATCCCGGCAAACATTTTTACTTTGCTAAACGTAAGGGGGTTGCTCCGGATAAATTCAAATTTGCCTTTGCAGATAAATTCACTCGCAAGTTGATGATTTTCCTAGGCATCTGCAGTTGCGGAAAGAAAACAAAGGTTTTCATCACTGAAGCGACTATGAATGGACAATAGACTGATGCAAAATTTGAAATTTTCGCTCGGGTCCTGATTAAACTCCAAAAGTTTAAACTCATTTTCAGAGTTGGTTGGAAATGCTAACATGAAGCTTTAGTGTGATAATTTATTAGCTAGAGAATGATCTTTAGAAGAGAGTAGGTGGATAGTTCCGTTAGAATACGGCAGTATGAAAATTGAATAGAAGTTGAAAAAAAACGAAGGGCCATTAATGCGACAGTTTTTAAAGATAGACGCACATTTTTGCCTAACCCGTACGATGTACGCGGAGACTTGAAGTATGTCTCCAAGTCTACAGGCAAAAATGTGCGTCCCTCTTTTGCTCATAAACTGACTGCGGCTGTGGAATAGTTCTAGCGACGTTTTCATCACTACCTAAAGCCCCTAAAGTTGGTTGGAAATGCTAACATGAAGCTTTAGTTTCATGTTAGCATTTCCAACCAACTCTGAAAATGAGTTTAAACTTTTGGAGGCTAATCAGGACCCGAGCGAAAATTTCAAATTTTGCATCAGTCTATTGTCCATTCATAGTCGCTTCAGTGATGACCAACAATAGGGTCGACCGAGCCAACTGCAGATGATGAACAAAGCACACCGAACCATAGTTGCTTTAGAGTATACAGATAATCGCATAATACACTTAAAGATGTACTGCTGGATGCTACCGATTTCGGCAAAAGCTGACAGCAAACTGTATATTATTCAGGGTATGCATTTACAATTTGTGGACCCTATAGTATACCTACAATGACACTACAGTTGCGAACTGATAACACTGTTCAACAAACTGGAATTTTTTTTTATTAAGGTAGGATCCACTTATGACTATATTCTTTTCCCTTGAGTCGAAGTCTACAATGTGTGTATGCCCTAAAATGTCACGATTTCATTAAGGTGATTCCTTGTGAAGTGCACAAATGGCCGCTACGAAGGCTATACATGTACTACCACTTCGAATTTTCAATTACCCAAATATAGGAAATAAGTGTCTCAATCAGAGTTGCGACCTATCACAATCACGATCATCAAACAGCTGATGGTAGTAACGCTTTGTACATTCCTATCAATGTGCTCGTCGAAGCCATCTCTCCATGACCATCCATCAAGTTTACGAAAGAAGCAAAAAGCAACTAGTGAATATCGTCTTCGGTTGTGATCCATCACCGATCTGGTCATTCCCGACAATCACGACACTCATCTGTGCTCGTTTTGAAGCAGTTGCTGCTTTGCTTGCTTATGTGAGTGTGTTGGTGAGTGAGCCCAACAGCTTCCGTTTAATGTTGCCTGCTTTGTTTGTAACTCACACAGTCGCGCGTGCCGAGACGAACTTGGAATGCATTTGGCATTGTTTTCATTTTCTTCTGTCGGGCCGCTTTTTCTCATCATCATACTGCAGAAGTCTTGACTGTTTTCGTTGTGCTTTTCATAATCAGCAGCGAGTATAACGTTTTGCTTGTGAGCAGCGACCATTACTGGTGATTGTTGTTTGCCATGGCTCTACCTCTACTGCGTGACAAAACGTTCTGTCAGCGATACTCGGTTGATGCGGAGACGAGTGTCACGTGAGTGTCACGATATTTTGCATCACTGGTCTCCATTCTCCTGAAATTGCTACTTTATGTATGCTGCAGTGCAGCGAACGTAGCGTAACAGTTTCATTATGGTACGTGTCCTGGAAGCTGATAATTGTGCACTTGAAGCTTCAAAGTGATTACCAGAATAAGGATCTCACAGCGAAACACCTTAAGCAGCTTTTGCAACATCGAAGGGAAGTAAAGCCGTTGGTCCCGGCCCATGTGTGTTGAATGGGTGCGATATCCTACGCAGATATGGAAGCTGCCTTCCTGCACATTCGATTGTCGTCAATGGATGGCAATCGATGTCCGTTGGTGATTGGCACTAGATTGCGGAACAGAAACTGACGTTAAATAAAGGAAAAAAAAAAGCTTTTGCAACAGTTTTTCAAAAATGTGTTACAAAATGCACCCATAAACATTATTTTGCAACACGCAACTTTCTGAACTAACCATGATTTTGTTTACCTAAGTTGTTTTTTAATTTGTTTATTTGGTAAGACTCCACTGTTAAAAAAGAATTACGGTGCCGAAAGTCTTTAACTCAATACTAACCTAAGAAGTTGTAGTATTGCTAATTATAGTTGACATTTTTTAATGAAATTCTAATCTAGCATCTAACTGACCTATAAAAAAAAACAAATAGCTATACCGGGCTTTGTAAGTTCTGATGAGGCCCGTTTAAGTCGGGAAGAGCCACTAATTTTGCAAAGTGTTTGCTTGGGTCTAACACTTGTTCTGACGCCTCAGAAAAATCCCACTGATCTCGGCTGGGATTGAACCCAGACCCATTGGGGTGAGAAAGCAGTCACGCTTGCCACTTGGCCACCACCAGCGGCGGCTCAAATTCAGAGGCTTGATTTTATTATTCCGTTTCTGGAATAAGCAGATATTCACAGATTTTATACTTGATCAATGTTATAATTTTTTTAAATAATTTTACTTGGATACGTTTTCAAGAATCTGGAACGATGTTAAATATTAATGATGTTGGGCATTGTACATGTACCACGATCAAAATAAACATTTTTCAAAGCTCACGTAATTTGATTAGAATTTCTAAGGAACTTATTCCAAGGGAATTCTGAGAAGAACGTGAGACAAACTTCAAATTTAATATGTTTTCTAGCTAGTTCTGAGGAACTTCAGATTCTATGTGAATGCTAAGGAGAATATCAAGGTAGTTTTGAATAGAATTTCATGGAAATTATGGATAGGATTCAGAGGAAACTTTATCGAAATTTCATATGAACAACCGAGGTTAGGAAGTGAATTCTAATGATTATTGCATGATAATTCTGAGGCAATTCAAGGCAATTCAAAGGAGAAATCCAGTATTGACAGTATTTGCCAATTTTTCAGTAACCGGAAGCCATATTGGTTTTAAAAATTGCGTTAGACATCGATTGGTTCCTACCGTTCCTACACGTCACCCCGATTCCTAAAATACCCATTTCTCATTTCCAGAGTTGCGACCTATCACAATCACGATCATCAAACAGCTGATGGTAGTAACGCTTGGTACATTCCTATAGGATACATCAATGTGCTCGTCGAAGCTCTCTCCATGACCACCCATCAAGTTGACGAAAGAAGCAAAAAGCAACTGGTGAATATCGTCTTCGGTTGTGATCCATCACCGATCTGGTCATTCCCGACAATCATGACACTCATCTGTGCTCGTTTTGAAGCAATTGCTGCTTTGCTTGCTTATGTGAGTGTGTTGGTGAGTGAGCACAACAGCTTCCGTTTAATGTTGCCTGCTTTGTTTGTAACTCACACAGTCGCGCCTGTCGAGACGAACTTGGAATGCGCAGGCATTGTTTTCTTTTTCTTCTGTCGTTTTGTTTTTTCTCATGATCGTACTGCAGAAGTCTTCACTGTTTTCGTTGTGCTTTTTATCATCAGCAGCGAGTGTAACGTTTTGCTTGTGAGCAGCCACCATTACTGGTGTTGTTTGTCATGGCTCTACCTCTCACTGCGTGACAAAACGTTCTGTCAGCAATAGTCGGTTGATGCGTAGACGAGTTTCACGTGAGAGTCATGATATTTTGCATCACTGCTCATTTCTAAGTTTCCCAGAATCGCAAAAAAAAAATCGTTATTGAGAATTTGCTTCGTAAAAAAAAAAGACACGGTAACTGAAAACACCGTTTAGTGCATTACAATTAAATCTGATAGGAGAAATTGATGTAATGTTGGCCTAAATGCCCCTAATTTGGGCCCATACATAAATTCAGCAATCGACTAAATTTTCAATAGCGACCAAAAATATTAATTAGTTCCGTTCCAATGACGCGTTCATTTAGATAAAATTGAAAAATAGCAGATATATAGCGATGTGCCCAATCTTAGATCCATAGGTCAACATTAGAGCCATTTACCCTAGTCATTCCAGGAGAACTTCAAAAGAATTCCAAAGGATTCTGACTTGATTGCCAAGCAAACTGTGAAGAGAAATCTAAATTAAGTGAATTGCAATTGGATTCTTAGGAGAAATTCAAAGGGAATTCGGAAGTGAATTATTCGAAAATTCA